TTATTGATTAATGACCCTAATTTATTATCGAGAAGGCTGTGAGTTGTGCTAAATGTACTATTAATCAACTTTCAAGTTATGAGGATCTGCGTTGAAAATGCCTACCGAGAACGCAGGAGACCAAGCGGCTGTTTTCCCTCGGCTCCTGTTGCAAGAAGTCAAAGGTGTTGATTTTAACAGGAGTTAAGAGTCTTTCATTGCTCTAATACCTGCTCTCCAGTGTGACAAATGTTTTTGTGAGAAACTGAACATAATTCCTTTTGATGGAGTGACCGCCATGTTCTTTCCACAATTCACAGGCAAGCCAACTAGAATAATGAAACACCCGTCCACACCCTCAACGACCATCTATTCGTTTGAGAATAGGAGCGAGAAAATGCCCGCAGCTCCAAATATATCACAGATAAATCAACAATATTATATTAAGCTGAAAACAGATGAGAGGTTAAAGAACTGGGGGCAAAGCTACAATGAATTTCAACTCTCGCAAGTCTGAACAAGGCTATTATTTCCCATTGAGCGAAGACATTTATGACACTTTAAATTCAGCTTTGTAAAAACTACAATTGATCATAATTTGCGAATACATTGCCGAACATCCTACAGCTAGTAGTTACTCCAAACGCATTTGAACCCTTCAAAAGTACTCTTTTTTTTCCTGCCGCTGTGTTTTGATGTATTTTGTGAAGGATTTTACAATTAACCTCTTAAAGCAGGCTGAAACTCAGGAAGTACCACTTAAACTGTCCCTAATTTAACTGTGAAGGTTATAACTCTAGAAATCACCACACAATTATTAATGCAGTATTACTTTCTCTGTGTTAAGTTACAAGTTAACCCGAACACTTTTTAGCTATAATCCAACTTTTAACACAAAACACTGTTTTAATCAATTGTATTTTTCACTTTCTTTACTACATTTTACATACAATTCCAAACTTTGAATGTATATTTTTCCAGTTAGACCTGTGCTCCCTCACTGCCTATACAATGTACTGTTACAGCTGCAGTCATTCTGTCACCCAGAGCGATTTTACAGTATAGCAATCTATTTGAAACTCAAAAGTCATAGGAGTGTGAAAACAGCCAACAGTCATTACATTATGAGAGCAATTGTTAGTTGCAGCCCTAGTTTTCTTAAATCTTTAAAAAACATCACAATTCAAAGCCTGACAGACTGTTGCTTGCTACTGTAATCAATTAGGTCTCTAGAGGTAAAAGCTTAAGGTTAAAGGTAATTGTAAACACACTGCCATCTATCTAGGATCGGGATGCATATTCCCTGAGGGCAAGCCCTGGTGTCACAGACTGAAACAGGGTCATAGGAAGCGTGGAAGCAGTCAGAAGTCACAGGGGAAATGTAAATTGTATTCCCAAAATGGCTCCACAGTACAACATGACAGGAAACAAACTGATCTCTGGTGATGGATCCTTCAAATGATGTGGGATTATTCAATTTTTCCTTTTTTTTCTCTTAAAGGACAGTAACCTTCAAGCTTATTTTTAATTTCCCGTGCCGCGCTCACGCTCACAGCGCTGGCAGGTGTGCCTGACTCCGAGGCTGCCTGCAGCATGCATGGCTGAGCTGTGAAAAAGCAATGTCCGATAATGATCAGGGACAATCCACTGGTTTGTCAAAACCTGGCAGAATCTCCGGCTCCAGCAATAGCACCTTGTTAGATTGAGGCGCTCAATCAGGGGAGTGCTGGAGTGCCCGGCCAGGTTGTGAGTGGTGATTACCGGGGCACGGCTGTCCAAAGCCGCTGAAATGCTCCACCTCTCCACAGGAGGCCCTCTGACATTCAAGCCTGCATTTTCTGAATCAGTCTTGAGTGATTAGGGCAGCGACAGGCAAAAGGACAGATCAAACAATTATTCCTCTCTGTCCTTTTGACATGTGGCAGAGCAGGAAGAGTGCAGCTCACAATATCTACCATTCTGTCCTAATAGAAAAGAATATAGAGGTGTTTGTTTTATTCTTTATCCTAAAAATGCTGTTTGCTTTTTAAAATAATCTGTTTTACAGACACATCTTTTGAAGTGAAAGGTCAGCTTTTTTTAATTAAAACATAAACAAAACAAATGGAGAAAAAAAAAACGAATTAAACTATTTCTTACCCAAGCTTAACTGTGAGGTGTAAGTAGCGCTTTAAAACTGTTGTGCAAAAGCAATATGCCACTAATCTTTTGGTATTGGGCCTAAGTAAACTCATTTAAAGGCTGAGTATTAAAAGCAGGAATGTGCATCACTTATCCAGCGGCTATGCCTGTTTGTGTAACCTGCAGGTTCCAAAACAAAATGAACTGCATGACTGTAGAGATCAACAAAAACAAAACAGCACCGACATCCCTCAGCATTTTCAATGATATTTACATAATATTTAACTGCACTGTTGGCTCTTTCTGTTGTGTGCCGCTGTGCCATCAAAGCTGCAGGGACGTACAGCAGTAAAAATTAGTCAGCATGAACAGAGGAGAGGGAGTACAGTATGTGTCGGAGCACAAGAGGGCAGTGTAAAATCCCTCCGACAGTCATCCATCCGACTAACTTGCCTCCCACCTGAAACAACAGCCATAAAACCTGTTGTAGGCTGCCAATCTCCAGTGGCTGTTTTCCTCCGTGAAGTGCAGGCCTGAGATCTGATTACAGAGGGAAAGCTAGACCACAGTCTGCTTACCAGAGACGGGGTCACAGTCTTGTGTGACCGTTCAGCAGGGACTCCACTTTTATCTCGGAGGAGAGGGCTGTCCATCTGCATGAATGTGTTTTCAGACATGATAGCAAACAGAATGGGCGGATTAATAAAAGAGGAAAAGGAGCAAGATATCCTCACATCGCCTCTGCTTTGCTGACATCGTTCTTTAAAAAGATTAGTAAGGAGAAGATTATAGGTAATGAGTTGAAAAGTGTAAAATTCAGGGAACGTTGATCGCGTGGCTTTCTGTGAATGAGTTGTTCGCTCTCTGTGGAACACTCACCTGCGATGGGGGGAGATGGAACGTGAATACACCTTGATGCTGTTGGAAATAACTTAAACATCGACATCTTCATTCAGAGCTCGAAAATGTTGCAGAAGCCAAAGTGACTACCAGCAGAGCATTTGGGTGAACTAATCCATGGAGGAAATTATATGCTGTATAAATGTAATCACATGGATAAAGAAACTATAATCCACAGAGTTTTAGTAGCTATAAAATGTCACATGAAGATCGTCATCAGCAAAAACACACTAAATCATAGTGCTCCTAGTAAGAAGCATAAAAATAAATGTGCGTATGCAATATTTTAGAGTTTGAAGCAGCATACATTGCGTCCTGTATGCTTATGTGTGTGTGTGTGTGTGTGTGTGTGTGTGTGTGATATTTTGGTTCTAGCCTTTCAAAAAGTGGCCTAGCACTTCAAAGGCTGAGGGATTAGAGGTTTTTTTCATCCCATAATTAATATGACGGAGGAGAGAGCGACAGCACCTGAAAACTGGACAGAGCCGCCAGTATCCTGCTGTGGCCAGAGAGCACCCCACTACCCACAATGCACCACATGCCGACTCCTTCAAAGACACAATACCATGTTAACCACATGTCTTCATTCAATAGGCTTAAGGCTATCTTTCTCGGTTCATGTCTGGTGTTTGAAGACCAAAACAAATAAATACAACACATGTATTTGTTCAAATTAAAATGAAGAACTTCGCTGTCCTGTTTCTGCTTTAAATATATTTTGGGGAAATTCTTGACATGTTTTTTGACCTTTAACCCCCGTGGGTCATGAGGTGTCTTTTTGAAGCCTGATCAGCTGCGTTTTCAGTTTCTTGGATAAAATCTGCCAACGCTTAAAACACAAAAACAATGTATATCATTATGTGGCATGCAATGACATATCTATGCATCAACACTATTTAAAAATATATTTCAGCATGTTAAGGACATTTCTAATTACTATACAGACAGTTCTACCTTTTTTTAATGACATACACTATACTGTAAAATCTGAATTTGACATTTTCTCCTCTAGTTATCTCATGCCAGACTACAGGTGAAAGGTTGCATTGCTTTCAGAGGGAATGCTGATTTGAAATTGCCAGCAGTTGTTTTGGAGAATTCCCTGGTTGCTTTGAAGTGTGCACCCCACTGAGTGTCCTAACTTTGACACAGAGAGCCATGGCTGCGGCTATTTATACATCTTGTGGGAGAATAGGTTTCCCCCACGTAACAGACTTTTTTTTTCTCCCTCTTTTTTCCTCTGAGGCTATCCCTAAAATTCAGCCATGCCACAGAATCGGTTGTTGAGTTAGTGTGATAATTGAGAGACGTACAAAAGCATCTAGTTTTAGTGGATCATACATGCTGTTGTTTTACGTTGTTATTTTCACTGCTGTTGAGGATTGTAAGTGCGTCCTTGGCGACTTCTATACAGCAAAGTACCAGGGTCACAGTCAGAGAGTCCAAACCAATGCATCTCTTACAATTCTCACAGTCTATTGATTCTCCCTCTGAAATTTATGTTGCTTTTCACTGGGACCCCCTACTGTGGCCCTCACAGCCTCCCCCACAGGAGGGTCACAGTGACACAAGAGTGTTGGGCCAGATGCCGAGTGATCCCCTCTGATGCACCTCCACTTCCAAAAGCCACATCCATCGCCACTGTGGGACAATCAGCCAAGACCCTCATTGAAATACCACACACCAAACCTGAATCACCAGCATCGCCCGCTCTCCTGCTTGCAGTTTTTTTTATTTTATTTTTTTATTCTATCAACAACAGCAAGTGTAAATCTCCGGCGCAAATGCTTGGAGAAAAAAAAGATGGGAGAAGAACTGGGGACGATGAAGAGGGCGAAAACAGAAAGAAAGAAGAAGAAAAAAACACAGAAGCGGAGAACAAAACAGCCCAGCTGGTCCACCTTTGCCACTGGACGCCAGTGAAGTCACCCTGTGTTTTTGTGAGGGTGCGTGTGAACAAAACGGTCTTTGAAGTTGTGTTACAGCACTGTACTGTGGCATCACTACGGCCACTACTAAGCCCCTGCAAAAATGTGCCGGGTGATTATAGAAAATGCTATAGAATCCAGTCATAAATCAACTAAATTTTCATGCAAATAGCCTCCTCCATGGGGCAGTAATGTAGTGTGTGTATAGCAGCATCAATAGTGCATAAAAGACACATTTTGGCACTTAAAAGAGAAATCATTGAGACATCACAGCTCAAATGCACACAGAACCTTCAAGGTCAAACACTGCGAAATAATGAAACCCTGACACACAGAGAGACACACACACAAACACACAATTGGAAGGTACAACAAGACTGGAGAGTCGTTAAGGCTTTTATCTTCTGCTTGAAGGAGAAAGATCCACCCGACATCCCAGAGGGTACTGATCAATCACGGCCTGACTGGTTCAAACTGTTTGTGCTGGATTCCACATCTATCACCATCCGATGGAGCTCTGTGTCCGACTACAGCGCCCCCGAAAAAAAGAGAGCACTTTCAATTAGGCCATGGCGAAATAGATTCACACCACTTGATTTATAGTGCACGACTAATTACACAAGCCTTTTTTTTGCCTAATGCAGGCAGAGCTGAGACTTAGCCTTGTACTTAAGGAGGTTATTGTCTTATGTTAAATGGCAGGCAGTGACATAGTCTTCATGTCCTTTAGAAAAGCTCTTGATAATGACATGAAGGATAACAACGGACTGAGCCGCTTTGATGTTTCGAAAGAAAAAGAAGAGTAGAGCGTAGTTTTTTCAGAATAATTTGAAGTCTTTTATCTAATCATGGAAGACCTTATAATTTAAAGAGTTCAATTCTATTCCCGAGCCACATTTTAGAAGACGAAGACATGTGATATGATGCAAACATTAAGAAGCTGGCCTGGAATACTTTCAATTTCAATGGCGGCTTTTCTACGCTATGCATAAGTGTAGATTATGTCATTTACTTAAATGTTGCCACTAGCCTATACCTCAGGGGGAGATAGGAAGGCTTAACAATAGGTACAAGCTACAGGCAGAGCACTGGGGCACGCTGCAACTCATGAATATCATTAGCGGTGAGCTGAATTTGTATTACTTTGGGATTACATCTAACCCTGCAATGCAACCTGATTGTAATTGCGAACGGAAAATATGTAACATAATCATATGTAAAGCAAATGTAAAAATACAAATCATGTTGTGGCATTAAAACCATCCCTGTTGGTTGGTTCCTGGAAAGAGGTCAGGGAGTCTGGATTTTTCTTTTTTTTTCCTCGCTGTGCCATTTATATAGTATAATTCACTGTGTGTAAACACACATAATGAAACAAGACTAGGTGCTAAATACACGTGTGAGATGTCTTTATTGCCTTACTACAAACACCCTGAAGGCCTTTCACTCCTTTTCAGGTAAATAGAAACAAAAGAAACCTCCATGCTCCGTAATTTTACAATGAAATGTACCAGATGGCTTTTACAACTTCATTTATCCACTAAGCACACAATTATCCACCTACAACATTTCCACACTTGTATTTAACTCTCTGTAATCAGTGCTATCAGGGGACAGTTGATCATGTATTGCAGTCATCCTATATACCTTAAATGGGAACATCTCCTAATGAAAGCGTTCTTGTGTTTATGCTCGAGTAGCCGCAGCAAAGTCGGTTCGTAACCTGTGACATCCCCTTCCACACAAAGACACTGGATCCCACAGTAGCAGAGGTGGCGGAAGATGGGTGTCAAGTTGGGAACTTAGACACATTTTCCATCAACAAGCCTCAACGGATTTCACAGTCTCCCTTGAGACGGTCTACACCTCCCAATAGGTGCTACATATAAGATGAGAGGTGGTATGCGATGGTGACGAACAAACATGATTTCATTAAGAGCCAGAATTGTTGCACCAGACTCTTGATAGTGATGAGGTCTTCAGGCACTGAAACATTATGTGATTATTAGCCAATCAATGTGTGCGATCTGCTATGAACGCTTTCAAGTCATCAAATAATAGTGATTGCTGAACATGTAAGTTATTGCTAACAGATCCCACCAATTATAACAATTGTGTGGTTTCTGTCAACACTAAAAAGCCCTTTTGAGAGAAGTGCTGCTTCAAAAACAGCATGAAGGAGCAATTATATGCATTTATTCCGTGTGAACGAGGCAGAATTCCTATCATTCATGAACAGTAAAAACATTGAATTGACACAAGCTTTAGCCACCTAATGAATAGCAACAACAACACATTGCTACAATGTGGCTTTCCAATCAAAAAACCTCAAGAACTCAATTTCAATATCCAGATTAGCTTCTTCCAATTCTTGCAAATGCGACTTGAGTTTCACTGAGCGCGATGTTGTAAAAAGGTTCGGATTAAAAACCCCGACACTGACACGAGGTTCCACTCTGATTGAATTTGAGAGCTGCTGATCAACCAGCAGTTAAGGCCAACCGAACAGGACGGAAGGTGTCAGTTCAGAGCTTAGCTGGAGGCATAAACGCCACACTCCTCCTTAAGCAAGATGAAAGAATGTTCCGCTTGATACGAACCCGCCTAAACACTTTGACGGATGTGATCGACCAACCCCCAAAAAGACGCGTCGTGACGCCAGATGATCTGCTCAGGTAAGCACCATCTTGAGTTTTTCAAAGTGCTTTACATTGCAACTCATCGTAAGAGGTTGATTTCAAAGTCACTGCTAGTCTGCAGCTCGACAGATTTCCTGCCCATGCGGATGTGTGGCAAAGTCACGGATGTCTTGGAGGCACAGGTGATAATAGGGCCTTAATCGCCACGCTGGTTCTGCTTGTCCCTCTCAATGTCACATATCCGGATGAATGTGGTAAATATCACCCCGTAGTTGGAATAATGCCACTTTATCTGGTTTTGTCAGACCAAGGTCTTGGTCACATGAAGTGGGTGAAAGATGAAAGGTGTATATGTAAAATTTGCTGGTATAATCACCAGGTTAATACTATTTGGAAGTTGCAAATTTGGATTAAAAATAAAGCTGGAATGCATATTTTTGCATGCAAGATGTAAAGGCTTTCTAAACGAAAGGCGGCTGCTTTGAGGGTTATTAGCATTTTCGACACAGACAGGTGATCAGAGCAGAGAAGTGAAGAGATCCAGCCTTTGGTCAAAGGGAGTTTTGTTCAACCTGTCATTGTACAGTAATGGAGATAACAATAAATCACTGATTTGTCTGGTACTTTGTGTTTTTTCTGCCATGTTTTTCTGCCATAAATCAGTAAAAGCAATTCCCTTAACACAATAGTTTGATGAGGAAGGTTCTTGGCAGAAACACAGTGCCCCCTTCCCTCCTCTTACCCTCGACCATACCGGCTGTACCTCATCCAGCCATGCCTTACCAGCACCCCTGCTGTTCAATACCATCTCATTTGTTATGTATCAAACGCAAATTTCAACGCATTGCCCTCACATATGCCATGGAAGAAGGAGTCTGCCACAGTGATGCTCTGGCTGCCGTCCAATCCTCAGCTGAATAAACACAGGGGCCATTTGCAGGTTGGCAGACACTGAGATGTTTGTCTTTCAAGGCAATCCACCTCCCTCCCGTCACTCCAGTTGACCCTTTCCCTCTCAAACGCAAAGGGGAAAAAAAATGATCACTATGATGTCCAGCACTTGAGCTGCTGAGATTGGCCTTTATGGTGTTTCTTGTGTCAGGGCGAAATGTTAAAGTTGTGAGAGGATCGACGTAGAAGAGGAGAAAAAACAGCAAACTTTAGAGGACATTATATCAAAGGGACCAGATCAAATAGGATGAAATAGATGGTTTTGAATTAGTAATCGCTGTAATGAAAAATCCGATCTGCAAACTGAGACGCAGATTAGAACAAAAAGTAAATATTGATATTCAGGTTAATTAAGCAATTAGACGTCTATAAAGAATCCTGATATTTGATTAAAAATATTTCATCAAATGCTATAGTAGCTGTCCTCTAGAAATGATATTCTGCTCATTTGTTTTGCCATGTTTGGTTTTGAGGGAATGTAATTGCTGCCTGGATTGTGGTCAGTGAACATTGTTTCCAGGGAACAAAGGACACTGAAGTTGGTGGAGGGAGCTTAAAAATGGCAGGACTTTGAAAGTACAGATCAAGGTTTGCATCCTGAGTTATGTTTAGCCAACAAATGCACTTTGGTTAAGTTTAGGGAAAGATTGTGGTTTGGTTAAACATTCATAACATAACCACGTTTGCTTCTTACTTTAAGACTTTTTAGCCGTGCTGGCAGCCATTTACCGGTCCACTATTTTGGTCCAGACTGAAATCACCCAATTCATTTGCCATGAAATGTGTTATTAAAGGTATCCATGTTGCCCAGAGGATGAATCATAATGACATTGGTGACTTGGCTGACCATTGGATGGATTGCCATGAAATTTAGCACAAATATTCAAAGTCCCTCCAGGATGAAATGTGATCATTTTGGGTTAGAGCTAGTTTAGATTATTTCTCTTCTACTCAAAAAAAAAGTCTAATATGTCCGATACATTGGTTTATAGACAAATTCATTCCCATCAGCCATAGGTATATTTTAGCATGTAAGCGTTTAAATACATTTTGCAATTTTCTGATGAATGTTATGAGCCTCCTCCACACACACACACACACACACAAACAAACATTTGTGAGAGTACTTTATAAACTCAATGTTTCAGTGATGTGTCTGTCTCTCTAAACTCCACAGCCTTTCAAACAGCTCACTGGAATACTCACATGAAAAACATGGTAAATGCAGCTCAGTCCAACCTCCCGGAAAAATGGTAACAAGAAACAACAAAACCTGGGCTAAAACAAATGCTGCTCTGAGGACACTGTCCTATTGTGTATTCATGACCCGGCTCTTCTGTGGAGATGGCCTTTCAACGACACAAAAGCAAGCAGGGTCTGCTGTTTCTGTCGGTTTATACAAATAACAATGATGCAACAGGAGTGCTTCCAGTGAATGTGAAATACACTGTCGAATCACCACAGTGGTTTGCCACGCATCACAACAGCCAGGACAGGCTCAATATTAACATTTCCTTTTGACACGTGGCAAAGGGTTTTCTTTAACCCATGGAGGTTGAATGGGAATCAGCGGATAATAAGAAATTAAAAGGTAAAGAGGACACAGGGGAAAGAGCGAGAGAGAAAGCCAAATCCTAGCCCTAGGGCTTAATGTTAGAACACAATGGCTGCCAAGGCAGTAAAGGAGTCGACATTTCTTATTCGCCCCCTCCCCTTGCGCCACCTGCATTACAATTAACTTCATGGCAACCTTGAGATCTCTGATTAGTGATGGCCTGTTGTCTCGATCCCTTTAATGCTTGGCCCCCACTCTGCCCTCAGCGCACTCACATCAACAAATCAAACCCAGTTTCCGGCAGGGTCTTTTACTGCAGGGAGCTGGCCTTTAATTTGGTAGAGCTCACTAAAGGACGGCTGCAGAGAGCTGCTCTCGGTACCTGTGAGGCTGGGTAACACTGAAACTCAAAGAGAGTATCCTAACATTTTGTATTATTATTATCAGACGGCAAAAGCTGCCATATTCAGTGTAATCACGTTGCAGGGAATCAACAAAACAAGGACGGAAACTGGTAGAATACAACAGGAAATGGATACTTTCCTTTGCCCAATTGATAATGACAACTGTAGAATACAAATTGTAAAAAAAATGGAACATAGGCTTTTTACCAATCAGGAGAAGTGAAAGACATGGAAGTGGGAGCATCCTAACAATTCAAAGCACGCCAGATGTTGGGAACCCCTCAAGGAATAAACTGACACATTAAACATAACATCATCTCATGCACTGGAGTGCAATCACTGCTTCTCTCTGGGGAGTTGTTACACTATGTGTTGCGGCCACAGTTTAAATCTCAAGAACTAGAAACTAATGCCCCGAAGACGGGTTGAGCCTAGCAAAGAGAACACTTGGGAGCTCCACGTAGAGAGCAGAAAGTGTGGTTCTATTTGTGTCAAGTTCAAAAATAAACTAGTTGTATCTGATATCCTCGGGGGGATACACATCAAATATTTTTATGTTAGCTGGCAGCCATTAGCGCAGTCTTTCCTCCTATTCCCCACCGCCTGTTCTTTGTTAAATCACACATCTCAGCTGGGACGAGGCCAAAATATTCACACAGTATTAAGAATAGCACAGTAAATGCATCATTACGTAAGAGAGAGGTGGCAAAATGTTTTAAAGATGATAAAAACGAACGTTCTTCCTATTATAAATAAAGATATAATCACAATTAGTAAAAGTAGCTTCAAAACATCATGAATGACATCATCAAAACAAACAAGACGTAATGCATATTTATCGATTTAATGATGAAACCAGGTAGAAACCAGCTTGGTGGTTTTAGTCACTGAACAGTACAAGTTTATGTTGGCAATGTTGGATCTGTGTGATGAGGCAGTTAAGTCAAAAATGAAGAACAAATTACACTAATGTCATCTTTGTAATGGATTGTAATTACAGCAAATATTATACTGTAATTATTGTAAATACTGAATGTTTAGTATTCATGTGTGTGGAGGTATGATAATGAACTGTGGAGTAAAGTATCCAACTTATATTATTTATTTTATCTGTTGGATTGTTCATCAATGAGTTTGAATAGTAATTTGACCATTCTGCTAACAAAGCCCTGTTGATGCTGAACAGTTCAAGGTTCATGCTGTAGATGTATTGAGGGATCTGGATGCTGCGTTTCATTCATTCCAGTGAAAGTTGCTCACCAGGTTACTGCTGAAATAGATCTTTAGGTTTCAGCGTTTTGTAATAAATAATAAAAAAGGACATAATGGCAGATAATAAGACAATATAAAGAGCGTATTATCAAAGTGTTTGTGAAGATCAGAATTTATCTTTTTAATGTTGTACATTGCTTTTTTAAATTATTGTGTATGAGCCATCAGGTGTCATGTGACCTGCAATTCCAATTGTGGCCACTGTGCTAAAATTGTCTCACGTATCAGCCCTGTCACTAGGGGCTTGGAAAGGAACGTATATCAAATAAAACAAAACGCGTACCTTCTGCCATACCTCACCATGACTTCACCAAAAGCCTTAGTTTGAAAATGTCTTTCTTAATATCAAATACTTCAAAAGTAGTGAAGAATGACAGACTAGCTGCAACAAGGCTAAGTAGTTAGCAACATACGAGTTACATACAACTATCTATGTGTCGGGTGCTTTTAGTTGTTAGCTGCATCATTGAAATCCATTTACTATGTTGCTATCAGCCTTTAGTAGTCTTCCTGCTCTTTACAGTGAATGCATGTAGAGCGATGCCCAATAGGGGGAGGGGACATAAGCAAAGAGCTACTTCTTTGTGACATGGGTAGGTCAAGTCTGTCATTAATGGCTGGCAGCAACACAAGTTTATTACTATAACATTCATATTATTGCAACAAAGATACACTGATCCGTAAAAAAAATGTCTCCTTTGAATGTGTACAAAAGAAATCAAAGATGTGCAGCACGCAACACTGATAGTGATCTGATTAGTTACATTTGTGACTAAAATCTTCTAAAGAGACCACACATAAGGCTAACAGAGGGAACATAACATGGAGCTTGTTTTTTGTAATTGCATACTTTGAATTTTGTAGTTGGAAATTAGCATCAGCTTTCTTGGATCTTGTGCTGGTTTCATTTGTTTTATGCTGGCACTAATGGCCATTCAAGCTCCACAGATAGACTCTGGGGGACGAAAGGGGTCAATTTATTCCAACTTAAAAGAACATATTGGTGTTTCTGAGCTTCTTGCTCGTCTCTTTCATTGTTAGCTCAAAGCCACTTAGACTGTTGTTCAATCCGTGTAGCGTGTCATTAGACGAGCAATTCAACGCCGCATTTATCTTCTACTGTTCACATCTTGGTTTATCCTCAGGATCATCACATCCTGGACGAGCTGATGACCGATCAAAACACAAATGTGTCAAATTGATTTGGATATATAGCAGCTTGCAGTCAGGTTAATAGCAACTTCACAGTTGATATTGTTATTGCATCTTCATCAAGGCCCAGGTGAGGCTTGAAATGATGAAAAAGGAAAAGCCAGAGATTCAAAGGATACTTGTTTGTTTTCTCCAGTAGAAGAAGGCACACCCATTAAGTATTTAATCCATCCTGGCCCATGCAGGTGTGTCTCTCTGTCCAGCTAAGCAATACAACAGTTACACCAATTAGGGACTGTCCAGTGTGCAGGTGGCAGAGTAACTTTTGGGGCACACCTGCCAGCTGATTCAACCATTAGACTACGTACCACAGTGTCTATAGCCCCGGTCCCCTGGGGACGTCCCCTCACCATGCAGGTGCAGAGAACGGAGAAACCGTGATGGATTACTCCAGATTTAGCAATTGCTTCCTCCAAAACCTCTTTCATCGTGTGTGAATGAGACAGCTGGATGCATATTTTCCTTGCATTACTAGGGACACTTTTTTTCATGCTACAATAAATGGTTCTGTTTTCAACCAGAGAGCAGGCCTCGAAGTCAAATAAGGTGATGTTTTTACAGCGGTCTGAATCATTATTTCAGGATTTTTTTATTTTGACTCTGACTCTCTGAAAGTATAGTAAGCTTTGCCTCCAGTCCACAAAATGTGAAAAATAATGGAAACTCCCGACTTCGCTGTCAACTTTAAGTTCCAAACCATGTTTTTTTTTCTCCCCACTGAAAACATTCAGAGGCCACAGAGCTGCCACATTGCTTACATGGCTTCACCCAGCAACCATGAAACACCTAACCATACTCTGACCGCATTGCTTTACCACCCTGCCAGGTCCAACACAAAATAACCCTTCAGTGAAGAGTCATAGAAACAGAATGTAAAAGTCTCCCTCCACTCCCATCCATAAAACTGCATACTATAAATGGTTTTAATTCAAAAATCTGATTTCAATTATCATTTTATTTTAAAGCTTACTATAATATTGCATCCATATGGGATACTAAATGCAAGGTGGCCATTTTATAGAGAAACGTATGATCAATTATGGTGTTTTCTGCACTGGTTAGCTTGCCAAGATTAAAAATTAATGATAACCTTTTTTTTGCAATGTAACAATGCCAATTTGTCACGGATGAAAATGAATACAATAAACTTCACATACAGCTGGAATTCATGAAGGAATATAAATCGAGAGTGTTCCATTAATATTCTTAGAGGAATGCTTAGGCCTGTTGTTATCTTCCACAAGATTCATCAATGCTCGTAGTTATTGTCCAGACCCCCCATGGTTGCAATTCTTTATCCTTGCCATCTCTGTAAACTGCATTATTTAGTTAAGAACATGTAATTCTATTCCACTCACACAATCTGCGAGACTCCAGGCTGACCGAAAAGCAGCCGCACGTAAGTGAGTTTGCACATATAACGGCTTAGTGTGTTTAAGTTATACATTCCAGATTCCAAATCCAGATGAAAGGACTCCCTGATCTTACACAAGAAGGGATTAGAGTTTGGTTGCACTCAAGAGTCTGATAGATATTACTATTACTGGCTATTAATTCCTTAGATTTATGTAAATCCTTTGTTTATCATGTATCCATATGGCAAACCACAAATATAATACATGTGCATTGTTTCTATACCAAACCAGATGTAGATTTATCTGAACTGCGCCATTGTTTTTTCCCCTTTAAAAAGCCCATGAGCATCAAAACATAAATCGACACAAAAGAAGAAAAAAAGGGTTTAAACACTAAACAAAACCATTTGCATTTGATTTAGTTCACATGTAAATGAATCATTTAGCTCTTTGAGGATCTATTACACACTGCTGTACTGTTTGCTGTTGTGCAGCTTGATTTCATGCTCATCATCTCAGTGTTTTTAATCGAGCCGGTAAACAAAATAATCATTAACCAGCAATGCAAGGAAAGCGTTTTGTCTTGGTAAAATATTATACCAGGTGAGGCTGCGTGTCTTGACAGGTCGCCATTTTCGAACCACTAATTTGCTCTCTTTGTGGCAGTGGCAACTCCCAGCACAGCAGTAGGACAATTATATCCAGGTGCAAGAATTTGATTCAACAAATTCTAGGTGGATCATTCCAGCTTGCTCCGGCCCCCCCCCCCCCCCCCCCCTCCACTCCCTCTTTGCCGCGTTGTCTGTCTTCTGGGCCAGCTTAGAACAGATGCCCTTGACAAATCTACAGCCCCTCACATGTGACTGAAGACCTTGACAAAAAGCTGAAACACTTCCAGAAACTTGAAAGTCATGAACCATGTTGTACGCTACAATAATTGGAACGGCAGCAACTGGAAACATTCCCCTGAATATTCCAGAAGATAATGGGACATGCTAATGAGCATGGAATCAAGCCAATCAAAAAATTAGAAGAGAAAGAGACAGGGGTGGAGATGGGAAGGTGCCCAAAAGAAGAAAAAAAATGGAGTGGAGTGGGTCATGTGGGGTGGGTGGGCTGCATGTATGTGGTCTGTCTTCTTGGAACAGCAGCACTGTAGAGAGTGCAGGATAGCCCCGTACAGTCCCCCTGTCAAAAGTGATGCACATTTGAGGGAAGTATGATTTGGGAGCTGGCACCTGGCAGACGGAGAGATTTCATGCCATGCCAAAGCACTCAAGCGATGCCATGCTTAACTCAGAGCTTAAATCTCTGCTCGCCACACACAAAACATGACGGAGGCTCCATAAATATACACACACTTGCTAGTGTGATTGTTTTTTTTAAAGAAACCGTGTCTCAGACAACTTTGAGGAAATGTTGTTTAGTCAAATTTACCAATTAATTTGTGTGTATTAAAATAACAATGGAATTTAGAATAGACATTTATACCCAACTGTCTGCCCGTTTTGACCTGGGGGAGCAAATTATAATTCAACTAAAAAGTAGCTTCTTGGTAATTTCTTAATGTACATTAAGTCTTAAAGCGTGACTCCCTTTTTAATGATAATTGCTAAGAGAAGAGTAGTATCTCATTAAAAATGTTGGACTGCATCTATCTCCTTTCAGCGAACTCTGTCATCAGTGACACTCTACATCTCAATCCTGCGGACAGCTGATTGGATTTACTCAAAACTTGGGCTGGAGAAAGTCTCACGCTGAGAGTAAAATTGACTTAGGCCTGTATTCACAGAGAAAGATGAAGGGCATCCAGTCTTATCATTCTCCAGCCTATGTCTCCCTGCAGCCCCAATACTTTCCATGTGTTACTCCAACGTGTGCTTCAGAATTTTCTACATGTGATGCCAACATGAAGCCGGGGACCAACAGTCGAGGGATGTAAAAGAAGTTGAATCAGAAGTGCTGCCAAATATTTTATGGCTTTGGAATCCATGGTGGGATTGTTCAGTGCATGTAAGATCACTAGAAGAGATAGATGCCAGAAGGCTGGGGAAACGGTATAAAGAGAGATGGAGCTCGATGTTTGTGTGACAAAGTGGGGTGAGATTAGTGAGATTTGGGAAACTCAAAGCATTCAAATTGATAAATATAACCAGAACCATTCATTTGAAACGCCACAGTATGCTTATAATTTGCTCAGGCTATTAATTTCTTCTTTCTTTTTTTTTTTTTTTACAATAATGCCACCTTAATATTAAACTGCAATGACTTTCTAAATGCACTATGATTCAGATTAAAAAAGTAACATGGCTCAGACTTACACATCACTAAGATGAACGTTTTATTGCATGTTACACATGAATTTCATTTGATGAACCTTAATAATGTTTCTGTAACTGTAATGTATAAAAATGCAGACAGTGCAACCAGGGGGCTGCGTATAATTTCATTCCCACAGCATCCTCACTGGGGTGCTGGTTCTCAGACTTCAGCCGGGACACAAGCCTTTATTTGATTTGGGGAACTCCCGCTCTCTTGTGCCTCCTCTGCTCATGAAGTGTCCCAGTATGGAATGTCTGCATTATTATACCGCTGACAGAGATTGATGCGTCTCCCAACCATCTGCACATGCAACAATCCTCAACTTGAATGAACTTAATTGCATAAGAAGAGAAAGAGGAAAAAAAAAAATAGTTTGGTTGTTTCTGTTTGAAACATATGTTTGGATGGAAAAAAATAATGTTTTGTAATGGATGTTTGATATTCTCGTCAAACACCATCAGCAAAAGTGTCAGGGATGAGTGATTTATTGAATGCTGCGCATGAGGTCGGGTTGTCGCAGAAGCAGCTGAAAGCCACCGAGTGATGTAACTTTGAAATTATTTACGAGTCGACCGCATATCATCAGTCAGACTCTCAAATCTAGGCCTCCCAAAAATAGGCATGCAAATAATCCTAAATGGTCCTCTGTAGTGTTATATATCTTATTCTACAATGTGTATGTCAAAACATTAGACAGTAGTCAAAGTTGATTTTTAAGAAGAAGGCTTAGTCAAAAACAGCCTCCCTATATATGAATAGAACTCTTGTAATTCACATAAGCAGGTGTGTGATATGTTGTCAAAGGCTCATTGAACAAAGGCTGCTGCGGTGCACTTGGCAAAGAATCGACCTGTAACCCAGAGGGATAAAGTGTTCAAACCTTACAGTACATCACAGTTTTGTTGAACAAGGCCAGGGATCAAACCACTAATCCCCCCCCCACACCCCCTTTGGTTATAATTAACTTGCAGTGCTTGATGCTAATACTATTTTAGAGATATGTTACTATGGACTCTAATCCCGATTCAATCTCTCTGTCTGTGTAAAGCACGAAGAGGAGAAAGGAAGAGGGTGGCTTCTTGTGTTTACTCTTCACATGTTGTATTGTAAGTGCAAAACCTAATATCACAGGGTGTTATGACCTGAATATATTTAGAGAAACAGGAGGAGAGGAAGGTTCAGTTCATGAAGCACCAGCAGGCAAAGTACTAGACTGATGAGATTGTGTGGCCAGAACCAGCAAATTATTTGTTTATTAAACTTGAAACACAAATTATTATTGCAAAGCCTAAATGAAGAAAACTACAAGCTCCAAAACATTCAAATGGGATGTTTTACTCTGATTCAAGAACTCAGTTGATCATTTTTTAACATGAATAAATCACACGAATCAAAACATAAACAAAGCCAGTGGTGCAGTGACAGAGTTTCAACAGTGAGTCTCAATTACAGATTCTGGTTTTTAAGCATAACCCAATTATTTCCTGAAAAGAAAATACAAACTGGAGAAATAATATTTTCAACAGATACATAGCTGCTTTCAAACAATCATTCCGCTCGCCATTAGGTAGCAACATGCCGCCATTTATCTGCTTGAGGACGGGGTCTGCAGATTTCTGTGAAGCCATGACAGATGGATACGTACGTCGCATACGTTTGGAAACAACCTTTAGCGAGAAGTTCAGCCGGATGCTCTTTTTTAAGGACTTATCAACACTTGTCCATTAGACACAAACCACTGCTGCGCGTGGCTTTATACCAAATAGCTGAGTGTGGATGCAGTGCAGGGGGCTGTCACACGATTCCAAAAAACAAGCGGTTGCATACAAGTAACGTGTCACTTAAACACTAGTCCTGCTATTTGCTATGAGTAAACAGACAGATTATTCACAGTGGATTGAAACCATAATTATGTATTAATAAATGATGGTTAGAACTGCAGCATTAATATACTGATGTCTTGCTGTAGAAGATCCATCTTGCAACGCGTGCAAAGTTTCAATATTTATTTTTAAGTTGCTGACAAGTTCCCACTAAGACGTACACCACCAGTGCAACAGAACTTGCACTACGCATATATTGATGTTCTGATGTGGTTTTCAGTCGTAATGCTGCTTTCCTCATGAGCTCCAGAAACACTTTCATCTAGATTGCAGTCTTCATTCCTACAAATCTTGCAAAGTTTAGATGTTATTTGTGGGTTAAAGCCTCGCTGTTTTTCAGAACTTGATCTTCTGGAGAGACTTGACCTTTTGTGAGTGCGAACATTTTATTTGCCCTTTCAGTGGAGTACAGAGATTTTAGAGACCTCGGTAAAGCAGAACTCTACATAGAGTGTTCAAGCTCTGCCTTATTAGAAAAACAGCATCTCACACTGAGTTAGATTACCTTTAACAACAAATTCATATTTCAGAGAAATTCAGAATCATTCGTCAGAGACAAACAGAGAACATTTTCTGACACATATTGTAATAAAAAAGTCTTTATTGATGCAACATTATTCAAACACATTCCAGTCTGACTACAAAGTGTTTCCATATGCAGACATTAAACATCATGTCAGGTCCCACACAGTGACCCAACCTCAACCAAGACATAATCCTCTGACATGGCGAGCATTAAAATCAACTCTGGTCATTTACTTTCAAAACCCTCAAACACTGACTATGTTCATGCTGTACATGCAGGCATAAAAATGTATTTTTCATTAAGCAAACTAAAATCATAGCATCAACGCTAAATATTGTGATACATTTTCCACAAAAAAGTTTCAAGTGTGAGTTTTTTTGGCCAGTTGTAGTATAATTTCCATTGCAGGTGGAAACATCAATTAGTGATTAATTGAAGAAAGTGGAAAAATAATAAACAGCAAACACCTGGACCGAGCAAATTTGGGCCAATCATTATCAATCAAACCATGAGTGAGAAACGAGCAATTGTAATTAATGGGATACACAGGCCTTATAATGTCATGCAGACGCATGACGTTTCATTTAGGAATTATTATCAGCAAACACGCTGAATGATCACAGTTGAAACCGTCAGACGGCCGGTCACTCAGGTGGCGTAGATGGATTTCTTGTCTGCCAGGATGTTTATATGAAGTGATACACTGTCCATGCTGGAAAATGTAACCGAGCTGCACCGCTACAAAACCGAAAATGGCTTTTTTTCAGGTCCGTTACACCTTGAGTCATCAAAATGTAAGCAAACGTAGCATCAGAGAAATACCTTTTAGCTTGGGGTGTTTGGTTTACGTTTGACATTTTACAAAATAGCCCTTTACTCAACCTCCTCACTTATTAGTATGTTAGCACATTATGTATTATTAACCTGCATGTTTACAAGAAACCGAGCAGTCACGAGCTGTATTACCTGCCAGCGTCTCACCTCTGTGCACTTTCAACTTAGCGCCGTGGCCTGAAATTAATTCAAAAACCCCTGGCATGTATTTAATATTGCTTTCACACACTTCCTTCACATCCCTGTCAAAGGAGCACAGAGGTCGCCGCAGCTCCTGGAAGTGACGTGACCCCATTACATCACACATTGCCATCTATTCACACCTAAACCACGTCGAGTCACTCAGTCTGCTGTGAGATAAGGAGTCAAAGACATCAAATCGAACTGCGAGATACGAACAGGAGCAGCTGCTGCACACAGGCCGGAGCGTGTTGTAAAATTGTTGAGCAGGATCAAGCAGCCTACATAATGAATTTACACATTTAACATTGAATTTTGACAGTCTACTGCTCATATACCAAGTGAGGTTCCATGTTGCCAGTTTTCTCTGTAATGAGTCATATTCCCCCTAGATCTATCCTCTGGCAACATTAGGTAGCTAATATTCTTTGCCTGCTCGAGTTCAACACACATAGACAAACACTTTCGGCTTCCAGATCTTTCTTGGCTCCCATCACCAGTAAAGTTGCATTTCCACCCGTGTCCTGCTGATGCAGCTGGTGAAATAATGTCTACGCCAAGCGCACTGTTATGATGATACCTTACAAGCCACGTTTTGTTTGCCAAATTCGACTTTTAATCACTCTCTTTCTGAGATACCAGTGTAATTATAAATGAATGCACTGCAGAGAGGTGGAACATATCGGGGTATGATTGAAGCGTTGCATCAGTCGGTACAATTCAACAGCTTTTCTTGTTAAAATGCAACAAGGTTGATACCTATACTGCATAGAAAGACGTCACAATGGTTTGGTGACATTTCTATCCATCGACATCCTTTGAGTCGTAAACATTTTACTGCAGGATTTCAGGTTTTGGCTGAATGACAGTGTTATTCTTTTCAGTAAACGCTTCAATAATAAGAAATGGATAATATCTACAAATGCACACATTAATATGACAAACAGCCTGAGTGTGAGCTGGACTCTACTGATGGAGGGATGATGATGGATGTTCTTCCATATTCAGGATCTAACTGAACGACTGAGCCTTAACAATTAACAGGCAACAAACGTGTGCAGAAAGGAAAGTGTGGAGTTTAACTTAGTAATGAAAGTAGATGCAATTCTGCAGGCACGAGCCAGCTAACCAGAAGAATTATGATTCCAGTTGGTTTCATTGCACACTTTTTTTAATAAAATGATTTACACAAAAAAATGTATTCCATTTCTAGTTTAAATATCTGCACTCAGGGCACCTGGCTGGCAGAACAACCTATTTATTGCCTCTTGTCCTTCACAATTATCTGAAGCTTTTGGGAAGAAGCCCAGGAGGAAAACAACAATGAATTTCAGGCAACCCCGAGATAAAGTCATTGTGCAGAGGCTAGCCATCGCTACATTTGCTGCCATGATTTAATATGTACAAATACTGCTGGATGTTAAAGCATTCATATCCTGACTTGGGTTTAAGATTTGTTTGTTTTTGATGTTTTTGACTGCGACTGCAATTTGCAACAGCAGTCGTTCTGATCTTTTAACTACATCAAGTTTTTGAAGAGACGCATTGTAAAGTGTCAAACCGTAACTAACCCAAAACCACCCTGAGGACAGACTAACAATTTAAATTAGAAAAAAAAACATGTTCCCCTGACAAATTTCCAATCAGTTTGGGCAATTCCTGTTTTTGTAGAACTGGTAATGAGCGAGAACAAAGGCTTCTAAGATGCCCAAATCGCAAGCAGTAAGAAATAATTTGGGTCTACTAACAATTTAAAACACCATATGCCACACAGAACACTAGTAAATGGGTTAATTGGGACTCATTGTTAAATTTAAGAGGGTACAAAGCATGCAACAGGATGAACCCCAAACATCAGGTCGCATCAGGCTTAACGTCACTATAAACTAGGAGTTCATATGGTTTCAGCCATATTTCCCTCAGGGACACCTCATGATGCACACTGACAAAAAGCATTGCCCTGATGGAATGGATCAGAGGGAATCTGTCAGTCATTATCTTTGTCTGGTCATCCTCATTGCGAAATAAGAAGTCATTATAAGACTCATCAGATTAGCAGATGTCGACAAGCTGCTCTGTAAGCGAGAAGACCTCTCCTATTAAGACACCATATGTATCGCTTTTTTTTTACACATAAAAGGAAAATGTGGGCTGATTTCCTTCCGGCTAATGAATTTATGAGAAATCCTCTGCATGGTTTACGCCTCTATAATGAATCAGCTGCACTTGCATGGTCTAAAACAAAAGGCTGTGGCTCTATAACAACAAAATTGGAAACACAAGATTGGAAACTTCATTGTGTAATTGACAGGTGTACACAAACTAACAGCTATGTTTATGTTATTCAACCTTCATGATAAACACAAGCAAATCAGTCTGTATTTCAAATTGAGAGAAAAAAAATGAAAACGTTATTATAAAGTATTAAATAATAAGACAGTGCAAACAAAAATGTAATTGAAAATAAAAATAAGAATAGCTCTAACTGAATGGGAAGCTGGTTGCAGGGGTTAAATAAAGCGAGATGTTGTACCCGGAAGCTCGTAGTTGCCGCTGGCATTTCCTGGAATTAAATCTCGCTCAGCCACTACCGCCGGAGTGCCCTTGAGCAAGACACTTCACCACCAAAAACTACACCATAACGGCTCCGTGTGAATCGCGACGTCGCTGCACGTCCCCGCGGCTCAGACGCGGGTGTTTTCCCCTCTGCAGAGGTTTACAGCAGCATCAACCTGTCGCAAAGAGCTAATTGGAGTGGCCTCATTTAGCGACACGTCAAAGGGGACGCGACAACACCGTGTCAGCGCCTCCACAAATCTCCTGCACGGTCTAAACTTAATAGCGTGTCAGAGACCACAACTGATGCAACGGGGGTCACCGTGAGCCTATGTTTCACTATAACGAGCCCTCTCCAAACCCGGCAGAGGGACTGCGGTGGCCAAGCGGAGATTAATGTCCCAATCAGGGATGTGGTTAAGTAAAAAGAGCTGAGAACGCACGAGCTCCAGTCAGGATTATCATAAGGAAGTAATACATTGGAAAAAAATATAGAATCATTTGGGTGGTGTCTTTTTTTACGATGGTTTGACATTTTATTTCTAAAGATAAAACGGTGATGTTGGACTGACCAACTCAAACTACATGTAAGAGCTGTGGTTTGAACATAATAAAGATTTAAAGAGAGTTTATAGTGGACCATAATTTAGGTGGCAATCTTCTTTTGTTTGGATAGTATGAGGCTGGAGTGTACGATTTAATTTAAATACAAGCTTAAATATTATGGTGTGCTATTTACACATATTTAAATGAAATAATCATGATACATATATATTTTTGCTGTCTTTGCTGCTGGCCTTCTCGCTAAGGACGAAATAAAATAAAAAAAATAATAAAATAAACACGTTTCCACACTTCAAAAGAACAAAAACGACCAGTCCAGTCTATTATTCTAAGATTATAAATCATTTTGTGTACAAAAATCAATGTCTGGATTATCTTTGTATGCAAAGTCGACGTTCACTGTGGGATGGATTGCTCCATTACCGTGGGTCTGGCAATTAAATCCTTCTATGGCTGCAAATACGACAGGGTTTCTTGCAGGCGTTTTGACATGTCTGCATGCCAATAAACTAAAGTGGCCTTGACTTGAATTTGACCTTTTTGTATTAGGACCCTTAAGCTCAGCAGATGGAGGCTGTAGGATACCGTTTTTGCAAGATATTTCCTGACTTGCAACTTGGAGCGTTGTCAGACTCTGGAGCTGTTAGAAATAGATATCACATGTCTCTCCCTCCCACACATAAACTTACAGGATCATTTTGCCGGAAACCGAATAGTTAAACCAAACTGCAAATGTGTATTAACTTATTGATTTGGTTCTCACTGAGTGACGGCAGCTGGGCATGCAGATCAGACTGCTGAGGGCATGGGCACCTCATCCATCAAGGGGCACGGATTAGGCGATATAGCTTTCTTCTAATCTTGGACTATATAATCCACGTGTCGGTGGCTGCAAAAAGTCTCACCAAAAGTTGCATTTATCGAGACATGTAATGTTTAAAAAACAGAAACAGACATAAGAAATGTGTCTCTGAAGAGAGAGCTATTTTGCATTTAAAAACAAGCATGTGTGTTAATTTTAAACGTATTAATATACTATAGCTTGCGTGGATTAACTGAATGTTATTTGCCAAAAACATAAACACAATTCAGATTTGTATACGTGTAAAAGCATGAAGTGAAAGGCTGAACCCCAATTCGGTTTGATATTTGATGCGCAGCTAAACTGCCGAGTGTCTACCTTGGTAACACAAACGTCAGGCTCGGTTTACTGGCCACAAGTGCTGGTGATAAATATTCATGATACTGGCGCCTGCGCTTTGCCCATATCTCAGTGTTTGTCATTTCCAGACTTGAGCGTAAATACATTTAAAGTGGCTGTTTTTCCTGCGCTCCTATTTGATCATGGAGTCACCATGAGCTCTATGGCAGTCTGATAGCTCGCGCGCTGCAGCCTGTCGTCGACTCTTCTTTTCTTTTTTTTTTTGCGAGTATTTTATTTTTGATACCGTGTGTGGGTTCAGTGTAAAGCAATACAACAGAAGGCTGGAGTGGAAATTAAACAGCACAGTATGCATTCAGTCGTGGCACGTTAAAGGAGCAGCGATTTGGACTCAAAGGGTTACAGTTTCTCTCTTCAGTAAAACATGAGCAGGGGAATAAAAAAAAAGGAGGATGAACTATGAACTGAAGTCCATAATGAGGCAAATCACCACCAATCCAAACAAAACTCAAATTCTCAAAGGGAAGCATCTTTGCATCAATATCAGCCTGGACTCTAAACAGAATTTTCTTTATTTTATATAAATGGTTCTCTCAAGTTCAACTGATGCATAAACTGGTTTAAGGTGGATTCAGCTTCCATCTACATTTGCCCATCTGGCTTCAGCTTTATATTTAAATATGGCGCATGTGTGGAATACATCGCCAGCCTAGAAGATAGTTTTAACACATCCGCTCTAAACTGCTGTATTTATATGTCCAGTTACATGTGAACATTTTTCTATAAAGCTGCAAAGTGACTTTCTCAGACGAATTCACTCGGCGTGGAGTGCGTCTGTTTTCCCTATAGCAGTGCATCAGTGAAGCATCAGCACTGGAACCTAAATAGATAGTGTTAAATAGAGTCGAAAAAGTCATTTTATTACCATCCTTCATTTATCTCCAAATGTAATAGTCCGTGAAAAGAAAATATGAATACATTTCAATACATTTCAGCAAATCATCTAAGATGGTGGATGTTTTTTATTTTTGCTGATATAAACGGGAAAACTGGCGCGCGTCCATGCACACACGCGGGCGCGCGCACACACACACACGCACCTCCTGTGCTGTGGATTCTTTTTTACGATTAAAATTGCTATTTGGTTCTTCTCGGCTATACAGCGGTCCTGACAAAGCTGCAGACTGACAGATCGTGGCTCCGTGCACACTGGCAGTGTTAACCATGATCACTGGCGGCTGCTGATGTGATCTCTGCCTAATGGGGCGGTCAAGCAAGCTGCAGCCAGGAACAATGAGGGGGCCACATTGACTCCTCAGCGCCCTAAATCTATGAAATCCGGCAAACGCGGAAAATAAAATAAATTAGATTTGAAAATTAGATTCCGGAACAATTAAGTAACGCAAACTATCTCGGTTTACACTGAGGAACAACCGCCGTGATTAATCGATTTAATTTGCACATTACTGCAGGGCAAAGTGTTGGATGTTAATTTGGGATAAACAGAAGATGCAGAAGGGGGGGGAGTGAATTTGCTTATCATTGACTGTCAGGGAAGTTGTGACAGTGCGTTTGAAACACAACCTTTAGCTCTAAATGAAATGTTGCCATTGACACACACACACGTGCAAAAACATGCACACACACACACACAGAAAATAAAGAGTTTGAATTATTTGCGCGATAATTCTTTCATCGAACCCGCGATGAATGCATTATTATGGTGAAAAAAAGTCTGCTGTAGTCTGCAGCTAATTATTGTATTTTATGCAGCTTACATAAAAGGAACCCATTAGTTCCACACAGCACCCATGTTGAGATCAACCTCACCAATGAAACCAATAACCTCCAACGCAATGCATTATTGTTTGTTTTAATCCTTTAATATAGTACGAAATGTATCCAAACATTTTTTTGTAAACTAAATTTTACATACGAGCGCATTTCTCCATAAATACCGATCATATCTAACATGTTACCGGTCCTTTACATGCGGATAAATATGGAAAATTGAGCTACTTACATGTAATAATACTTCCTTTCAGACAAAGCAATTGACAGAGATTTTATATTTATCACGTACATAAACAGGTTGACACGGAATTTCAGGCTTTCACTACACGATTTATCGACATGACATTAAATAACAACAATGATACTGTGCTACTCAAACTGGACCTTGGACGAAAATGTTGCACTGAATAGGCTACAAAAGCACATTAATACTAAGAGTCGGTTAGGTCGACGTGTAGACTGTAGTAATACTGAATAATTCACATTTGGTTCACGACTATAACATTCTTTTCAATGAAGTCTATTCATCGCAATATTCTTAAAACCCATCTCATTTTCCATATATCTAGGGACCACATTTTCACAAATTCCCTTAAACTGTGATAGAATTATTTACAAAATAAAATATTACATTTTTTTCCAACTTGGTGAAATCCTTATGTACAAAAATTCAGGCCTCTACCCGGAGATAGCATGCTTTTTGAGATCTCTTCTGAGCAGTCGCTCAGTAAAAATAAGGACTCAAAGGAATATTGAGGGGAAAAAAGTTAAACTCGGTGGCTGTCCTTGCCTCCTTTTTGTCCATGCATTCTCTCTCATTGACATTAAGACAGCCTTTAAATGATCGTTCGGGCCTCCCGTGTTTTCTCAGTCCATGTTTCACTGGCTGACTTTATAAAGTCTTTGATTCCAAGCAGTTGTTTTTTGTTTTTTGTTTAATTCTGCAGTCTTTTTTCTACTTCTTTTTTTTGTTCCAAAAATATTTACACGTACCATTCATTGAAATTTGACGACAGCGTGCTGTGGCTGGTTGTGTGGTGAACTGCTGAGGCTGCTGGTGATATGGAGCTGCTGCTCTGGTTCTCTGTGGACGGTGATACTATAGTGGGAGGTGTGGACGACTCGTACCCTGAACTGGCCGCTGGAGATGGCTGCGGTGCTGGATTGGTGGATTCATGGACCTTCAACATTAAGAAAAACGTTATAAAAAAGCATCCTGCATTGCCTGTTTGGTCGCTTTGTATTTTCGACAAAATAAATGAATCAAAACAAATGTCCTTATTTTACTGTTTTTAACATGTGGGGAAGAAAACATAACCTAAAAATTATTATTGTCATTAAGATCTGAATCTATTTTTGGGGTTGAAAGAAAGAAAGAAATTGGCAAGGGAAATTTAATCATGTTTCTCTATTTCTTAAAAAAAAAATGTACCTCCTCTAATATTATTACACAATGTAAATATTTTTATTCTCATTTCCAAGCGGAAAAAAAGCACCTTTAAGATGTGAAATACCATTTAACAATGTTGTTAAAACAATAATAAAAAAGACATGCATAAGAAAGAAAGGGTTCTTTTACCTTCATGTGTTTTCGGAGGGAGCTGGGGTGTGTGTATGACTTGTCGCACATTTTGCAGAGATAGGGCTTGTCAGACGTGTGGACGTGCATGTGTTTCTTGCGGTCACTGCTGTTTGCAAATCGCCTGTCGCAGCCTTCAAACTCACACTTAAAAGGCTTCTCACCTAAATACAAAAAAAAGAAAGAATAAATGCAATGTTTAACACTGGATCTCAAAATGACATCATACACTATTGTATATAAATATGTTTCTATAGTCTGTGAGGAAACAGACTAATGAAGAATTACAAGGCAGCCTCTTTATGGTTATATATTTGACTGACAGACAGACAGACTACTTACACACTGCAAATATATTTGACTAAGCCACGTAAGGGCATGGCTTAATTCATTTTGTTAAATTTAAATATGTATCACAACAAGACATTTTACCCGAAAATAACAAGACTTTAAAAATAACATTTGAAAAAAATGTCTGTTTACAACTGCACTGAATCACATGCCAGTAAGGAGACTCCAGCTGCCACATAAAACAACCCAGATCGCATGCATATTTTGAATTGGATATTGTCAACATGGATTTGGCAGTAAAGAAATGCGGGCAATCTGAGCGGATCTTACCGGTGTGAGTCCTTTTGTGAATTTTTAGATTTTCCGATCGAGCAAATACTTTGCCACAGCCGGGGAACGGACACGGAAAGGGCTTTTCTCCGGTGTGTACTCTGATATGATTTACAAGTTTGTATTTGGCTTTGAATGGTTTTCCTTCTCTGACGCATTCCTCCCAGAAGCAGATGTGGTTGGTCTGCTCTGGTCCCCCCACATGCTCCACCGTCAGATGGGTCACGAGCTCGTGCATCGTGCTAAAAGTTTTGTTGCACGACTTTTTGGGATTCGTCAGCTGCTCCGGCTCGATCCACTTGCAGATGAGCTCTTGCTTGATCGGCTGCCTCATGTATCGAAAGAAGGCCCCTGCTCCGTGGTGCGCGGCCATATTCATGTTCATGGGGCCATAGCCGTGCAGCTGGGTCGACGCGTAGTGGTCGGACCGTGGGCTCGTAACGTGACCGTATTGGTCGGCCCGTCCGTACATGTCCCCCGAGAAGCCCAGCCGCATCTGGCTGTTGACCACGTTGGAAGACGCATGGCTCGCCGCTTGCTCGTGGAGCCCCGGGAAGAGCAGGTGCCCCGCTGCATCCGAGTGTCCATGTGGCCCTGCGAAACTTCCGGAGGCGAACAAACTGTGCTGCGCCCCGGTGGCGTCCCCGAAACCCCGATTTCTGAAGAGAAAGTCCCTGGTGGAGTTGAAAGCCGCCGTGGAGTAAGAGCCAACGTGGGTCGGGTGGTGATGGTGTCCCAGGGCGGCTGCCGCGTAGCCGGGCGCCTGGGAGGAAAACGCCGTTTGTCCGGAGCCGATATCGTGGGAGCTGTGGTTTATTTTGAAGGCGCCCATCCCATCCGCGAACGGATTGATCCCCAACGCTACTTCTCTCTCTGTGACTTCGCCTGTTGAGTGATGCCGTGAGGAGCCGAAAGTAGTGACTCCTATGGTGGGATACTGCGGTCCTGCGTCCAAGAGCATCTTCAGTCTAGACTCGCCGAGACGACTGAGAGCAGAAATCAAAAAATCACGCACAGATATTCTTCCTCCCCCTCGCTCTATCTCTTGGACCTCTCTCGTCTGAGCAAACTCTCAAATCCACCGATTTTCTGTTTACTTTTTAGGACGCGAGGAATTCCCCTATACCGCTCATCCGATGCACACGCAGAATCATGTATACATGCAATATTGTCTTTTGCGGTTTATCTTCCTGTGGCGCAACTTTCACCTCCTCAGTCAGGCGGTGAGCTCTAGACTGATAGTCGCAATCATTCCTGCAGATAAATGAATTGAAAAGACAACACAGTCCAGCCCTGATGAATGGGAGAGGAGGGGGTGGTCACGTGGGCCCGGAGCTGCGCGCTCATTGGCTGAGCCCCTTTCCCCCCAATAACATCCACTCACCAAATAACAATCCACGGTGCAGGGCCCACACTTCTATTGGCCTCTTTGCATCATCAATCCCAGATATTGTGAGATTGCTGACTGTGGATTTGGTTAAAAGGCTGAATAACAGTAAAACAAAAGTTGAGAAACACAAGGCAACAACTGGCCTTGTAGAAAGTCAAAGCACGTTTTGCAGCCACATAAAGCGTTTTATCATAAACTGCAGTTTATAAAGCAAATGTTTCTATATGTCTTTGTTAACATGGGTACATTAGATAAGCAACCAAAACCATTTGGTGGTGTAGTGGGTGACGTTTTTGTACAATTAAGCACCCACACATTATGCAATGTATATATGTATATTTCTATCTATATATCTGTGTGTGTGTGTGTGTGTGTGTGTGTGTGTGTGTGTGTGTGTGTGTGTGTGTGTGTGTGTTGTCTGTCTAGTGTATGACACAAGCTTGCAATGTCAGAATAATCAATTACAACAACAATTCAATAAACAAACCGTATGCCATTCAAAGATGGACCCTCGTGACGTGTGTCAGGTAAACGGATACAGGAGTTTTGGCTCTTTTCTCGGGAACCCCCATGGGAAAGCTTAACGCCCGATATGAAGTCTGCCCACTTCCATCGCTCTCTTTAAAGGTCTGTTATTGGGTTATTATCATCGTATTCCGTTCACCTCGCAGTGACTCCACGTAACGTTTTGTTGTCTTGCCTCTCGTGCGCACTCCGTGTCGTTCCGTCCCCCTTGAACACAACGGTTCGGCGTCCACTGGAGCTCTCACCAGTGGAACATCTGTGATTTAGATTCCCTCACCAGCACGTTCATGAAGGTTACTGATATAGGCCAGTATTTAACTTGGATCGACTAGTATGCCTAATGTATCCATCACTATTTGTCTGTGCCTGTGCAACTTAGTCTTTTTTTTTTTTGCAGGCCAGTGATGTATAGCCTGTGTGTAAAACGTTGTGGGTTGTCGAAGTTATCAAGTGGGATTTGCGGCGCTCTCTGCAGGAACCTCCGGCCGCTAGAGTTCAACGCCACATGCACAGACGTGCCATGCGGACCATTAAAATATCTTCTTGGCTACTAGGCTACGTTTCTGCAAGGCATTTTCCAAGTCAGTCTTGGGAGATCAAGGGAAGAGGGGACGTTATGTTGTTCTCATCTTAACATGTACGCCTTCAACTTGATCCAGCGGTTTAGGTAGCCCACTATCTGCTATGCAAAATATGGAGGGATCCTTCAACAGGTGGAAACGGTAAGAATGGCATATCATTGAAAGAGGAGGAGAGTCAATAGTGAAGGTTATTTAGTCAGACTTGCAACAAGAGAGGCTAAATTAGAAATTGTGTGCCAAGAAAAGAGTTGTTGGAATTCTACATGCCTTAACAAGTGGATTTTAACTTCCAGTGCCACTTATGTGCCTCAAAATGATTACAATAAATTATATGGCTATATAACTTAGCCATATGCGTAAAAGATGCACCCTAATCAACACGCCATTAACCGTTTAGTGTCATGATCCTAATATGCTGGAGGCATACTCTAGAATTTAAAATGGCTACTTGGAGCTATTTATGATTTACACTTAGCCAAAACAGAACAAAGCAGCGTTTTGGGAGACCTCGCTACAATATGCAACTTTTTCTTTTTTGTTGGGATCTGATACAACTCCCCTGCTTCTGGTCTCCAAGAGTGAGTGCAGGCACAACTTGGACCAGAAATAGCACTTCAAAGTTTTGCAGTACGCTGGTGCTGTGATGCCTCTGAAGGCAGCTGTGAGCCTCATGAGTCCCATGCGTAAAGGCCATTTAATAAACATGTTTTGGATCCGTCATGTCTCAAAATATTGATTCAGTTTCTAACGTGCTGGACATGAGGCTGTCAGCAAAGATGTCGACAAGTCAATTCAGAGAAGTAACCACGAGGAATCACATTTTTAAAATTATTGTTTTCCTATAAAAATAAAGTGAGTGAGTGTATTATTATTCAGCATATTCAATAATTTACTTTGTTGTTGTTTTTTTAATCTGAAAACGACACATTCAGTCATCCAGAAAGAAAATATATCATTTGACTCTGTCATCAACGAGAAAGTGTGAGGTTAAGATACTGAAGAGCGCCTGAGACAATAGATTTCCACCAATGACTTATGGTCACATCAGAAGTTAAATAACACCTTAACACATTTCATATTCACATCAAAGTGATTAGTACTGTATGTGACCTTCTTTAGGTCGCTTCACGCAGTAATTTATTTTTGTCTGCAACTACAAAGATTAACCGTTCAGTACCCCCCCCCCCCCCCCCCCCCCCCCCCCCCCCCCCCCCCCC